TATGGGGGCAGCGCCCTACTCCTTTGAGCCACAGGCACCACCCAAGTCCTATTTTTTTTCATATGCCAGTACACTGTACATAAAGTTAATCCTTGGGCAGTTTTCTTCATTATCATTGTCCTTGGTTTTCAGAGCCTCTAAGAGTTGTTTTAGTTGCTCAGCGCATAGTGGAAAAAGTGACAAGGTTAGGGAAGAGACACCTGGGCTGAGACAGCTCGTGTCAGGCTGGTCTGTGCGCTGTCCACTCTTCAAAGATCTATGTCTCTAAGGCAAACTGGACAAATGGGCAAGTGGTGATCTCTTTTTTTCCAAAGGGCAGCACACAAAGAGCTAGGTGGAGACTGTGATTAATGTGTCACTTTAAATCAGGACAGGAGATGTACTACCCTTTCTCTAAAAGAGATATAATTCGGTCTTTTGCTAACACAATTAAGACTATTAACCTAAAGGTCCTTATTGTCACTACTCTCCCCTCATATTAAGCAACAACGACAACATGTAAGACTCCACAAACATCTTACAGAACTGGTTGCTTTGGTGGTTTGCTTTGGCCTTTCTTGCAGTGAATGTCAATTCACATAACAAGATGTTGCCGGGTAATTGATCACTAGAGCCTGCAGCCAAGCACAAAAGTGTCCATGCACCACATTCCAGAAAAAGCCTTCATAATTGGGTGTAGGCATCCTCTGTATGATAGAAAGAGCTCCATCTCAACTGCCTTTCTCCTGGCCAAGCCTTAAGCTTGACTCTGGGAGGGCGATTTTCTCCATTTTCTTCAGGTATCCAGTGGATACCTTGAGAGGTTCCAAAGCTTAACATTCCTGTGGATGCCTCGCCCAACAGGGTGGCCTACCTGGCACTTGAGCCCCAGCACTGAAATGCTCTAGGCAGGACCACCATAAAGAGAACTGTAAAGCTTGGGCAGAAAAGGAGAATCTGAGGGTGGGAGTTTCAGAAGGACCCTCCCAGGACCTTGCTTATGTCCTCCATGGCAGAAAGCTGGCATTGGGTGCTTGCCACAGAGTGTGCCACTGGTGTCCTAGCCAGAGAAGCAGCCACCATGAGCCAAGGGAGGACCAGGATGGCCAGAAGTCAAGGGTCTAGAAGGCCCTCGGTGCTTTCCTTACTCCTTCTTTCTGCCCAACGTGCTGGAGGGCAGGTAGCAGTGGGGGAGGTGTCGCAGGGAAGTGTTTAAGGGCCACATCCTGTGCCACCAGCCAGCCACTTTAAGAAAGACTCAGCTGGGCTTGCAAGGGTTATGGGGAGAAGACTGAATTTAAATTGAGCATGAAGTTGGGTTTTAGTACTGAAAAGTTATAAAATCTGCCCTAATGGAGCCACTGCTGCACCCACAGAATAGTGGAATAGGCTCCTTTTTCATCTCCTCTTTCTCCTGCAGCCATTCTCGATGCAGAGCTCTCTAAACCATGAATCAGATCAAGTCACAGTCCTGTCCAACAACTTCCAATGAGTTCATATCGCATTTGGACTGAAGCCCAAAGTCCCTGCTGTGACCTTACATGGTCTGGCCCCCTGCTGTGTCCGGGACCCTAATTCTGCTCACCCTGCCCTCCCTTTTTCCCCTTGGAAGTGTCAAGCACATTCTCCTCTCAGGGCGTTTCTGGTTCTTCTTCTGAAAACACTATTCCCCCATATTCTCATCTCTTTTTTCACTCAGGCTCCACTCAGATGTTGTATCCTTAGAAAGGCCATCTCTGATCGCTATCTAAAATAGCTGTCCTCCCACCCCACCTCAGGAAGCCTTTTCCTTTCACCATGGTTCTTAGAACTACTCAATGTTATGTATTTTTATATGCTATTGTCTGTCTCCTGATAGCATCCAAGTTTCACAGGGGGCAATGATTTTATCTCTTGCTTACTTCAGTACCCTAGGCAAAGAATAGTGCCTGGCACACAAAAGATTTCAAAAACATTTGAATGGATGACTGTATAGGCATCCTCAAACTATGGCCCACGGGCCACATGCAGCCCACCTAGGACATTTATCCGGCCCGCTGGGTGTTTTTGCTGCCGCTGCCTGTCCTGCTTAGCAGCTGACTCATCCCGGGGCCTGCAGTCCGGCCCTCCAACAGTCTGAGGGACAGTGAACTGGCCCTCTGTTTAAAAAGTTTGAGGACTCCTGGTCTAAGATGTCATCAAAGGAAAGGGAGCTTCAACAGAAATGAACTTAAAATTAACTTAGTAAAAATAACCCATTTAATATTTAAAGCCCACTGAGTTGAGATTCCTTAATAAACTCATTATGAGTTGAAGACTTAACAGTAACCAGGAAAGACTGCTATGGTTTGGTTCACCAATATATAAAATTAAAGATGGGTTTAATCCATATACCAACCTTGAACCCTAAGACAGGATGGCTAATTTGACAGAAGTTGATGTATGTGGGATTAAAGAAAAATAAAGACCACTCTTTTTTTAACTCCTTTTATCAAAATTGAAGTTTATTTCTCCCCATTTTGAATCTGAACACGGACCTGTGACTTTCTTTGGTTAGCAGGACATTAGCAAATGGACAAATAAAATGCTGCCTTGAATTCAGGATTGCCATCCCTTGCTGCTGGGAGCCGGGAGTCCACCCTATGAGGAGCCACACAGGAAGACCCTGCCATTCTCGACCTCTGGTTGAAGTGCTAATCTCCACACGTCTGCAGCTGCACGAGTGGGCCCAGGATATGGAGCAATGATTCCAGCCCAAACTGCTGATTTCACAGAATAGTGAACTAACAGATATTTCTTGCTTTAGGAGAACAAGTTTTGGTGGGAACTGTTACACAGCAAAAGCTAACCGATTGGGTGCACTACTCAGCACATTATGTTAAAACTGCCAAGACACATAGGTGCCTGCTTCCTGCACACTGGCCTATGGGTTTTAACTGGGGGATACAGGAACATGCACTGGAAGCCCTGGAGAGCTATTAACTGGCTGTGTTAGCTAGGGCAAATTGCTTAACCTTTCTGAACCTTAGTTTTCTTATATATAAAATAGAGAACAGGCCCCCAAAGTGCCCTAATCTCACCCCACACGTTTGCTCAAATTCTGATCTAAAGACAGCAACTTCAGCATGTCTTGGGAGCTTGTTAGAAATGAAGAATCTCAGGTCTCACCAGACTTAGTTCACCAAAATCTGCACTTTAACAAGATCTCTAGGCAATCTGTGTTTCCACTCAATTTGAAAAGCACTGCCTTACCAAGTCGGTATTGCTCAAAATCACCCTATCTCCAAGACCCCTCACAGTGAAGAGCCACCCAGCTTTTGCCTGGGAACCGTTCCAGTCTTGCAGGGAAACTTGGTTAGGATATTTTTCTTGGCTGCTTCACAGGCAGACAGGCTTAGCAGCTGAGGAGCTTTGTTCAGGGCTCAGCTAAAATCGCAGCTTAGTAGTTTAGCTGGGGAATGGTCAGTGGACCCCCACGCCCCTCCTGCTTAAGGATGTCCAGTTGGTAAACTTTTGACGATCATCCCTACTCTTAACCTTGCCTGAAAATGGCCAGGATGAGCCAGGGGAATGAGCCTTTTGCATCTACAACTGCCCTTGCCCTCGGAGCTTGGAGTATTGTTTGTACACGTATTCCCCCTCCATTTCTTACCCCTACACAGGCCCTTTCTTTCCTCCTGGCCAGCCCGACCTGCTCAGGCGGCTGAGCATGCCCAGTTTAGCGGCGAGCATGGCCCCGGTCCCCAATGCGCAGGTGCCACGTCTCCGGGTTTTGGTAGCCACCGGCTGGAAGGAAGAGGCGGCGGAGTGACCGCGGGGAAAAGGGAACCCTCCGGGAGTCCTGGAGCAGCGCGTTGAGGGTCCACACAAAGGGTGATCCTATTCGGAAAACCTTTAGGGCCTGAGTGTGTGACTGGGAGGCATCTAGGGGCCGTCCTAGGGTAAGGGAAGAAGCCGGGAACCGGCTGGAGCAGCGCCCCAACATCCCAGGGACCAAAGTCTAGGGGGTTTGTGTGTTTCAGGCTGCACTTTGGGAGAAGACTTTTCGGAACCACTTAATCTCTTTGTGGCTCAGTGTAAGCCTCATGAAAATAAGACAGAGTAGTTACTTGCTTTAGAAGATAGTTTCACGGATTAAGTGAATAAAAAGCGTTTAGAGCAACGCCTGACGCACTGGTAAGCGCCGCCTGTGTTTTTTAAACAAAATATAAACAAATAAACAATCCCCCCCGCCCGGCCACGGCTCTGGGGCATCAGTTTTCGTTTACTCCCACCCACGGCCCACGGCGGGCGGCCAGCCTCCCACCCGAGGAGGGTGCCGTCCCTTCACCCCTCTTTCCCGGTTCTGCGCCCCGCGCCACCCGGTACGCCCCCAACCCCCGGGCGTGGGGCACGTGCAGCGAGGGCTGCCAGGGAGACCCCAGAGCAGCGTGCGGCAGGGGTTGCCCCGGACGCCCCACCCACCTTCCCCGGCGCGGCCCTCCAGCCGCCTCGGCCGCCTGGCCCCCGGCCCGAGAGGCGGTGCCCCCGGGCCACTTGGCGCCCCCTCCCCGCCTCGCGGGCTCGCGGCCGCCGGGCGGGCGGCCCGGCCCCTGCCCACCCCCAGCCCAGCCGGGCGCGCCGCACTGGGCATGCTCCGTAGCCTGGGCAGGTTGGGGCTGCAAGGCGACAGCTCGGGCTCCGGAGCCGGGAGGCGAGAACGAAGAGGGAGACTCGGGGGCAGGGGAAGAGGGAGCGACGGGCCACGGAGGGGCGGCGGGGCCCGGAGCCGGGGACACGCAGAGCCCGGCGGCGGGCGGGCCGGCGCTGCCCCGTGGGCTCGCCGGGGACGCGGCGGAGACCCCCGGTCCTCGGCAGAGGTTAGGACCGCGCGGCCGGGAGGCGGGGAGGCCGGGGAGGGGGGGCGGAGGCAGGCGGGAGGGCGGGACTGGGGCGCGCCGGGAGGGGGCTCGGCGGCGGCTCTCGATGGCGGGGAGGGGGTTGGTGGCGCCGGGAGCAGTAAGTGAGCTGCACCGCCAACAAGCTCTCTCACACACACACGCGCGCGCACACACACGCGCGCACACACTGGGTCGCCAGGCAGCGGCCGTCGCCGCATCCCCGGCTGCAGCTCCAGGCAAAGTGACAGGTAGGAGAAAGCATTTCGGGTCCCGCCCGAGGATGCTCCCGCCCGCCCGGGCCGGCGGGGTTTGTTTGCTTTCCGCGGGTGCGTCCCGGACGCGCGCGCGCGCACCCGGATGCCCAGCGGGGACCCAGTGCAGGTGCCGGGTGCGAGGCGCCCTGTGCGCGCGGGAGGCAGGGGACCCAGCTGCCACCCCCCTTCCCCGTAGTCATCGCTTACTGGGTTTCCTCAGACTCTCTCCAGACGTTCACCCGCTTCTGGGCTAGAAATAGCTCCGCTCGACGTGTATATGATTATTTTGGTTGGAAATAGTTGGCACCGTGCAACGCATGTAAATGTGTGTGCGTGTGGATCCTCTTGCCTCTTCTGGGGAAATCATAGAAATAATTGACCATTTCCACTTAAAACAGCACCGACAGGCTCAGCACTCACTGGAGGCAGCGTTCTGGCCTCCTCAAAGCATATAAATTAAGGAGAGTAATGATTACGTTATTTTCAGGATTTTAAAGTTGCTTTTTCCTTACCCGATTAGACTTTGTCTATATAGTACAATACTTCTGAGTGTAGACTTTGTTTGTAGACAGTACTGAAGTATGGAAACATGGAATTCTCCAAATTTCAAAGTGTAAGTGCAGCTTTATCTAAAATCATAAAACTATCATAAAAACTAGTATGTTTTTTCCCAGAGAGAAATGCAAATGCCATTATATTTCCATAAACATGGGTATGTTTGAGAGGTGACTGTACGCTTCTAACTCTTTTTTAAAACCCTGCAGTGATTTTAGCTATTGTGGCCAAAACATTTATGGAAGGTCGTCGTTTTTTTTTTTTTTT